TTTTGACTTCATGTATGATGAGTCACTTTGTCTCAAACTGGCAAACTGGCGACCATAATTTTCACTTGTCTTTGTTCAATTGAATGACACTCTATTTTTGCTCAGAATTAGGGCAAAAGTGGTACATAATGTTTTTTTACCCAATTTAGTTATTTTTGATTTTGAAGAAATTTGCTGACTTGAGCCATTTAGTTTCCACAACTCGGCAAAATCATTTATCAGCATTACCTATCTATAGGAATATTTTAGACCTGCAGACTCTTTGTTAGCGTCCAATCAAATCACACGACGAACAATCATCGGGTTTCATACATGTCGTTTGCATATCACGTGTCTGTTTCGTCACAGGTTCAAGAGAGGCGCCGCTGCCATGCCCCGTAACGCCGTGCCAGACCCAGAACAGGTGTTCAATAAATTAAACATGGACAAGAACTCTTTCATTGAAGTTCAAGAATGGAAACGTCAGAAGGGAAGCATCTCGAATTTCGCAGAGATGTTGGAAGCTATCGACATTGACGGTATGTAACGTTCATGTGGTAGTTTTAACATACGTGTATAGGTAAACTTACAGCTTTCGCCATTAACTGTGGCGTTTATATTTGTAAAAACACGATAATTTAGAAAATGTTTAAATTAAATGGTTCAGTGAACAAGCCCGCAATACGTAGGGTTAACTTTTTGAAATACACATAGCTATTTGCTTAATAATAATTCAATGTTTACCGTAAAACATAATAATAAAAACCATTACTCGAATAGGTGTAATTACAGCAAAAACCACAATAACTGATGTTATTGGATATGTGGTCTGTCTCTACGAAGTGCCTAGTCGTACCGCTTCCTTGTTAGTATTGTAAGAGTAGCACATTTCTTTATATATGTGTTGCGTTAACAAAATCCATTTGTATGAACTGTGGTTGTTTACTCGTCCGCATGCACCGTGACAGAGAGGCGAATATGAATGCACACATGAATATTACCAAGAGTAGTATAAAGATATAAACGTTGTTTTAGGCACGTATTCCGCTGTGTTGATTTAAGTTATCACCGGAAATACTCACCATGTGTGGTGCAATTCAAACGGGTGTCAACAGGTTACTTGATATGACAAGAATTCAATAACCAAAAGAGGGCGCTGTGTCGACAGAGAAGTGTTGCATTTAGGTCTTCTTTGACAATTGAACAAGTTGGCGAAGTGTGGGGGCTGAACCCACGACTTCAACTATCATAATTAGAGAGGTAGTTCCTCAAGGTATCCCTTCGAAATTATTGTAAATCGTTTGATATTCTTATAAGTTGAGTTCTGTAGTGTCAGCGTGATGCCATCTGTGTCTACAATTTCGCAACTTGCGTGGCGTAAATAGGCAATTGTTGTGTTTAATTTTCACAATTATAAAGAATCTTGTAAATTGTCACAATATTCCACCAACACTGTAAACACTCTGACAGAGGGCGTACAATTACCTATACCGCAATCAGTAAAAATAAACTCACAGCAGTAATGCTATTTCCCTTGTTGTTTTATTTAACACAAATTAACATCTACACGTATTATGAGGTAATATTTTATTTTAATTTCAGGTATTTGTGAGAAAAACGTCATTGTGGCGGAATATTGATCTTTTTCTTAAAGTTTGGATCAGTCATAAAGTAATATAATCTGTGCATGGTTGATCTTCTCAATCTGTTTATATATAATTCGTCTGAGCAAAACTGTAGAATAATATTCTTTTTTTAAAAATATGTAAAACTACATTTTGATTGGTGACAGAAATTTGACTTTGACGTGCAAAGGGATTAACAAAAACGCAGGCTTCTTTTTCACCGATGAGGGCACACATTCTGCATCTCATACAAGGTATAGCAAAGCGAAGAGAGAATATAATGAGTTTATATTTTACAGGGGATGAACGGATCTCATTAGACGAGTTCAAGCTGTTGAAATTATACTACAAGACTACACAGGGACAATAGTTTGGTAAGTTCGTTGCATGTTGCATTTTTTCTTTTTATTTATATTTGTTAGCAGACAAGCTAAATTCTTTTGGAAAAAAAACGCTTACTAATTGATTGTCGATCAAAAGTAACCGGTTCTGACGTCAGACAGTGAATTATCGTTCATTAATTTGAGGCATGTATAACAATCGAGAATTAATAGGGATGTGTTACAGCAACCTATATTAGGAAGTTTTCTTTTTTTTTCAAATTAATGCAAAGCGTTTACTGCTTTAAAACAGTAGACTAAGATATAACATACCGAGTTAGAGACGCGATTTGCACGATTATAAAATGCGAGTATAGAGATTCATTCTTAATTATTCAGTCAATTTCAGACCCTATTAATTTATTTTATAAATTTGTCTCATTTGTTTTCTCAGTACAAACTCTACCTTTAACATTAATTTGTTTATTGTTTTTTATTTTAGATCCGAAAAAGTGGAAGTTGATCTATTACATATATTCAAGAGATTATCGTGTACTTACCGGCCGTAGCACTGCTTTAGTTTAATAAAATCAACACTGCAACCTGTCATTGCCGTGACAGCGTATCATCTCGAGTTGCATGGTTTCATACTATTTCGTAAAACTTTACTTTGTGAATGAACACATGTATTTATATTCAGAATTAGTGTTGAAGTGGGTTTACAATTATAGTAATTATAAACTTCTAAATCGACATGCAATAACCGAGTTATACCAAGAACATCTGGCTGGATAGCTGTGTAAAATAATAAATACATCATGCATTGTCATTTGCACGCATTGTTGTTTGCGCATGAATAATTCAACATCTATCGCTCCACGTTGAATACATTATAATTGGAATAAGGTAATTTGCATTGATCATCCAAACGAGTCTATTGACAATTTTCATATGAATGTACAGTTTAAACCATGGTCACAGGACCACGAGTGTCGCAATTTGTATCAGACGAGAAAATAAAATTATTTTGTTGAAATTGTGGTGTATAACTTGATGATTTGTATTATTGTATCTACATTATGGATGAATTGCATCTTCCAGACCGCATGTGTGGATATGTATTGAAGATGCAATTTAAAAATGTAATTAATTTGTCCATTTGTTAATGTATTCACGTCTCATTTTAAAAACCCGCAATACTGCTTTGTTAAATGTTATATCAAGGAAACGCCATGAGGGAATTCATCATATAGATGAATACTTGTGAGCATGTTCATTTTATCACTTGCAACTAGCCAGAAAACTGAAGTTTTTACTTTTATATGCCCACCCCGAGAAATGGCTAACATAATCTATGACCATATATGGTCAATTATCTCAAAAAAATCAATCATGCCACACTTGTGTATATGCCTTTTGTTTGCAATCCAATTGCAGATTGTTAAATACTAAAATATGTATATACATATATATAACAATTGTAACATTTCTTTGATTTCGCATAGTCAATGTGACTGTGACTTTCAAGTCAATCCGATCATTTCCTGTTTTTAATGGTGGGTTTACTGATTAAAACAATTGTCTATTGTATGATGCGTACATTACATCATGGAACCTTATTAACTGATTTTGAACGTTCTATCAACAAATGGTATAACGCCTCCTTGGGCGTAGAACAGCCTGCCGACTTGCAAATGTATGGCAAAGTTTTGGAGTGTCTTTATAATTGTAAACATCACAGTGGTGTTCAGTATTTTGTAATGTAAAAAGCAAAAGACAGAGTGTATGTATGAGATGGCTGTAAGATGCACCATGCAAGAGTATGAGCCAAAGCAAAGTACAACAACATGAGGCAGTTGAGATGGCCCAATTCCATGGAAATAACAGAAAACAAATACATTTTTGATAAGCATCTGATAAACTTTTACTACTTCATTTCACTGATTTATTCAACGTGATACTGGGGTTCCTGCCTGGCAAGCTAGTTGCAGCATGTTGACATGTCAGCGTCCGTCAAAGTGGTCACGCTGAAACTTGGAACTGCAATGATGCCATCTCTCAGAAATGATTTTCGAAACAGTTTAATGACATTGCATCTGCAATATGCCTGCACTTAGGTTTTACAACCCCCGATTGCATGTTGTACTTGTATTTCAGTATGCAATCGTTGGTCTTATGTATTTTCAAGAAGTACAGGATTGAGAGTTTATATTGGGGTTATGATAACGTCAATATAAAGTTAAGCTGGTGATACAGCAGCATTTTACTCATATGGTCCTAATGTTTAAGTTAGCTGTCTGATAATATAGTCTCAACATATTTGAAACAGGAATTGTTCGGGGTATTTTCATCCTACCATATAAGGAAATGCAAATCGCACATAAGCGTCCTCTAATAATAAAAAAAAAACATGGCTGCCACCAGGGCTCGACACAAAGAAGTTCGCTGATTATGTTCTAAATTGTTTGGATTTCTGCATTCCCATATATCCTTGTATAATAACAAGGTTATTACGAGAATACCTCAAATCATGCACTAAGACAGTACGCCATCACGTTGACCTCCACCGACGGGTCAGTGGATACTACCGCTGTACTGTCTTCGTGCATATTTTGAGGTATCCTCGTAATAGCCTCATATTACCATTATTATACTTCTGGTGTTCTTGGAACATTCTGGCATACAATTACACCTGTACAAGCACATGTTATATGAAATATTGACAGTGACTCTTTGATAGTTATGCCTCGATAAGTCAAACAATGGTTTGCCAATGATTCTTTGCATGGTACATTTGATTAACTGTCAAACACTTAGGATCAGAAAATAGATTTATTTATCAAATCTCACGAGAATTATTGCATCAATTATTGTTGATGGCTTAATTCAAGACTATGATTTGGAGGCAACCAAAAAATAATGTAAATGAATTACCTGCAATTTCTCTAAAGTGTGGTAAGGAACTAATTTAGCCTACCATTTCAAACGTTTAGTCACCTACCTGTGCATTAAAAACAGTGTTACCGTCATTTGCGCATTTGAATTCCCTACTGCATATTTTCGTGAAATTCAACCCCAAGCCCTCCCGCCAATTAGTGCAGGAGAATTCTAATAGTATGCTGCTAAGTGTGCATACTGTACAATCATATTCAATTGCCAGTACTTTTGAAATTCACTGTCTGTGCTGTGTAGCACTTTGTTTAAATCTTATACCTTAATTCAACTTACGTAAATCGCAAAGAATAATGATTCTTCTTCCATTAAACTCAAGTTTAATAAGTTTCTTCTGAATATTGGTGTCTGTAGTGAATAGCCACTGTAGAACGTGCGCCATTTAATAAAATGCCAAGTACAATTCGTGGTGGACAGATTTCAATATATTAATTTCTAATGGTATTAACTCCCACTAATACATGGGGTTGATGCTTCAAATCATACGCGACCTCTTCAGATGTATCATAGGATAACGATCTAGGTTTGTTGTGAAGGGCACTTAGCTCCAATTCGTCTTACGAATCTACACGGGTCAACCATGTTTCTGTCAAACGAATGAAATCACTTTTCATCAATCGTTTGTCATTTTTCATATACCTTCTATGTTATGCAGCACAACTTGTCGCCACAGAAAATTGCCTTCTTATAGAATCCGTTTTGCTAAATAGATAAGTCAATAAAACAAGTTGAATCTTATAAACGTTGTTCACGTGATGACAATCCAAGAAAGAGAGTGTTAGTTGGGTTGACAACTGCTGCAGTCCAAAGTACACGTTATCCAAAATGATGATCGAAGTGGGACACAGGCAAGCACAAGTGAGCTCTAAAATAAATTTCAGAATTGGGTGACGAAAATGTTACTGTATTGGTAAGTATTTTTCTTCTCAACGTCTCGCGCGTTTATTAAATTTTGTGTTTTTCACAACCACCTATTGACAACCAGCATACAACACTGTCCCGTGACAACATGTCTACTACAATGTAGAGCACCAGTCAGGACACAAGTTTACTTATATTTCTCGTGTTTTCAACAGGACAACCTAAATTTCCAGATCCTCTTGAGTGAACTGCATGCAAAAGGCACCCTAGTTACCATGACACTGATATACATTACCACTGGTGCAAGGCCTAAAATGATCATCAATTCATGTTTTATTTTTCAGTTTTTGCACACAATCAAAATTACTTTGCATTCAATTTTCAAGTAGCTTTTGTGTTCTCTACACTTTATAAATAACATTTTCAGTGCGACCCCACAAGCTACAATTAGAACAACCTAGAAATATAATGTTTTTTTCCTTTTAAAGTGTAAATTTGGAATGCTTGTGTAAATTTGCCAAATATGAGCTGTAATAATTTCATTTTCATCAGGCAAGAAAATATTCATTAATGTAAATGCAATTCATATAATATATTCTACCTGCCAGTGTTATTCTTCGATATTACTATCAAATTTATTTGTGGGCACGAGTGCACTAATTTTCACTTTTATCTTTGAGTATAATACTACATAATACATACTACTACATACCACCAGTCCTGAAAGAGCTCAAAAATGTCATTTGACCAAAAATGACAAAATATTCATTGAATTTTTTAACTTGATTTGAACAACTTTATAGAGGACCACTCTCAAGTATCTATGATGTTAATATGAAAGAATTGACAGAGGAAAACGGAAAACTAATCCATATTTGAGGTATCCGTAGAACAGACAGACAGACATGGTAAACTAATAGAGCTGAGGACTATTTCAGTCAGTGCTGTTGCAGATTTTCAACATTGCATCAACACACTGAACGATTTCACTAAATTTTTAGAATTGTATGGAAGATTTTTATGAGCATGAAGGTTGGAAATACAAGTGAGATTTTCTGCATGATGAAATGCATTTTAAATATCTAAAATGTTTTTTTTTTTTGAATTAGGTACATTTTGCCTTGAAGATTTAGGGGTTGGAATCTGATGAAAACACTGTTCCTCAACGATTGACGCACTGTGATGAAAGGCATACAAACTGATATTTGTCAATGGCACAAATAACAAGCATATCTGTATTTAATAACAAAATGCTTCAATCAGCAACCAAAAGACTTTTGAACAAAATTGTCAATGAGCGAAATTGTGTCTATACATGCGATAAAAGTGTTTTTTATTGTCACGTAACAACTATTGGTTGCCAAGACTAAAAGGCAGATCTCACATGAGCTTACATGAAATGAAATATGGTCTATTCACAGTTCATCTCCAAGTAGTAGTTCTGAATACATTTACAGACTTTGATTTTACATTTTTAATCAAAATGACTACCAATTTGATCGAATCACATACCAGCACATGGTGCTTAATACCCATCATCTGTGTACAAACTTTCAACTGAATCCTTCCAGCATATTAGTGAGAAATCGGCATGGACATGAAAACAAAATGGCAGCCAGTCAGCCTTTTTTGATAGAATGGTGACGAAAATTGATGGGCTGTCTGTGTGTTTGAATGATACCGGTCAACGTGATGTCTGAGAAATGGCTCCAGATGAACTGAACCCAAATTAATAGTATCCGTTTTCAGGCACCATTCGAAACGGGGACTAACAAGTTCAGTAACTGCACAATTGAAATACTTTGAAAATTGTTTATAGAATAATGTAGACGCTTAAATTGGGGTAAATAGATGAAGATTCTGAATTTGCAACAGTGAACTGAACATAAACTTTTATTTCAATATTAGAACATGTCTCCCGTGATTAACCTAAAACATGATGCAAATTGAACACTAGGTATTAGTTGTGTGCCATTGCTTTTGGCAAGATGGCATCAATCCAAAATACAACATGAAAACATCAAAACATGATTCAAATTTAACACAAGGTATCACCTCTACCACTACTGTGCCAACATGGCTCCATTTGTCAAACAAGTCATTGTCAATGACACGTCCCCGTTCCGTTCATATTTGAGTGACATATACATTCAAAGCAGATCATGACCGAAATGCACCTGCATATGTACAACACATTGTACTAAATCTGAACAAAATCCATCCATGC